CTCAGGACCAGGGTAATGTGGCAGCCTCTAGAAGACTTGTTGATGACTAAGTGTTTTATTTTATATACTTTAAGTCAGCTGCTTTAATTTGCTTGTTCTTCAAGGCTCTGTGTATAAATGCTGGTGAGGTCACCACAGTGAGCCAAACCAGGGCAGCATCAAACAGCTCCTCTTGGAACTATTGACTCCTGAGTATCTGAACAGTGGGAGGCTGGTTTGCAGAGCAGCTCCATGGAAAGTCTGTGTAATGTGTTTGATTATCCAACCTTGCCATTTTCAAAGGGACCCAGTCAAGATTAACAGGGCCTAAATGTACCATCTCCTAAAAATAACTCTGGCTTCCCAGCTCCTCTGCTGATGTTGGGAGTGGGAGAAAAAAGTGACACTCCAAACTGAGGATTGCAAAGAAAGAGGAAATGTCAAATGCACGTGGCCAAACCCACCCCTTGACAGCCCTGGAGAATGGGTGCTCTTCCATCAGTGCTCAGGTTCCTTCACTTTGGGGTCCCAGGCAGGGCACCCCCTGTGCACTGGCTCTCCCAGGGGACTGTGCTGGATCCATGTGGATGGGAATCTCAGCTGGGCAGCTCTCGCTGCTGGAGACAGCATCAATGGGGATGTTTTCTGTTCCTTGGCAAAGGGAGACACTTCCCAAATTTTCCTAATGTGTGTATTTTTCTTTTCTTCTGGGTGAGGGAGATGAATGAACCCAGCTCTCAGCACCTCTGGAGCTGCCTGGGCCTGCACAGGAACAGCCCAGCGAGGGTCACCGTTCATGCTGACACAACCCAAAGCCAGGAGCTGCTGCTCTGAGTAACTGGTTCATGGCTGACAGCATTCCCCAAGCACAGGGCGCACTTGGGCTGTGCCACAGTCTCTCCTGGGAGCAGGACTGGCTGGGAAGGATCCCAGTTCACCGTGCATTTGTTCTGTGCTGCACAGTTAATATTTTCTTGGGGACTTTCCATGTAATTTTCAAGATGGTGATCAGCCTTGGTTTTGAGAGAAAAACCTGAGCCGTGCCTCGTTTCAGAAAGCAAACCCCACGGGTCATGGTTTCTGGAAGGCTGCTCTGCCAGCATTTCTCCAGAGCAGCTCTTTAGTTTCAGGGCCACGCTGCTATGGTTGTTTTCTCGCTGTTGTGTCCGCTGGCTCATGCACCTGGAGTCAGCTCCAGGTTTGGGAAGTGTACAGTCCCGGAGTCCTTGGAGGCCTGCTGTGTTTTCAGCTGCTCTGAAGGCAGCCCTTCATCTTCTCCAAGCTACATGGAGTCAGCACTGCTGCCATGTAACCCAGGGGCTGAAGCTCTTGTCCGGGCAGAGCAGGATCGGCAGCTGCTGTTAAAAGGCCCAGAATCTCTCCTGTGAGTGGGTGTTATTCACTTGGTTATACCAGTCCATTCCAGCTGAGGATCTGTCCCTTTGTTTTGTGCATGGGACAATTTGTTTTCAATTTTTGTTTCTGAAAGGAAACTGTCAAGACAAAATTCACACTTAAAAAAATTAAGGGAAACAGCCCTTTGTCCGTTTCTAACAATCCCCTTCCATGACTAAAGCTGGAAGAATTCTAGAAACTGCAGTAATTTTCTACCTTTGCTTTGGTTTTGTGTTGCTCTCGCATTTTCTGAGGTTCAGATCCAACACCCCAAAAATACTAGAGGCCCAAATCACCATGTTAGGACGAGTGTAACCCAGAGATGTGTGTGCTCTAAAGATCAGAATCTGGTTGTGCTTTATCTAGAAGTGGAACTGGGGCAGCAGGGAGCCGAGAGCAGCTTGGGCAGGATTCCCTCTCCTTGTAGCACAGAGCCTCGTGCTGCCTTTGCAGTCCAAGAGGGAACATGTAAAGCCTCCACGAAGGCTGTTCCCTAGAGCAGCACACACCCATCCTCGCCGGGTTCTGCCAGTGACCCAATGCAAGTAAAATAAAATCGTGGATGAGACAGCCTGCCCAGGCACCAATCTGCAACAACCCCAGCTTTTCCGTGCCCTGGCTGTGCTCAGCCTGCTCCTGGTGGGGTCCTGGCTGCCAGGGAGGTTGTGGTCTCCCTAGGGCAGGGGCTCCTCAGATTTTCTTCCATGATGGTACAGCAGCCAGTGCTGCAGGGACCTGGTCCTTGCCTGGGGCTCCTTCCAACTACAAAGACTTGTTTATTGTCAATCCAAGAAAAAAAAAAAGAACTTTTGAAAATAATAATAACAGCATGCATCTCATTTTCATTTTAGTCCTAAAAACTACTTGATGCTCATTACAAAGGAATTGATTCCTTAAATGAATGAAGCAGCCGTGAGTGCTGCTTTCAGTGTGGGACTGCTGACGCTCTGACTCATGCTCTGCTTCTCACAGGCTCTGGCTTTATGCTTCATTTAGGACACCAATGTCATTAGCATTCAGAGGGCTGCTGCTTTTAAAAAAATTATTATTATACTGCTGTTGTAACTTTTTCAAAGGTGCAAATAATATTTGGATCCGAATCATGGCTCATGTTTTATTACCAAATCAGGGCACAGGGTTTGTTTTCCCTTGACTTGCAAGCCCTAGAAGAAATTCTAGATGAAAACAAGGTGTGGCTTTGTACAGTTCTGAGAGGCTTTCCGGGGTTTTTGGATGCCAGGTTGACTGCTACCGTGGAAAACCATCCCCTGTGGGATGGGTGAGGATACTGGTATTGTGTTGTACTGTACTGTGTGACTCCCCAAGCCTCAGAGTGGCCACACCAGCTGTGTGTGTGTTCCCTGGGGATGGCACATGTGAACAGCTCCAAACATGCTGCTTTGCTCCAGAGATCCCTGTGCTGCCACTCACATCTCACCTCACAGCATTTCAGAGACACTCAACCACTTTGTTCTTCACAGCCTGTAACCAGAAACTGGGGAAAGGATCCCTTGCTGAGGGATGTGATGTTTTTACTGCAAGGGGGGGGGGGGGGGGAGAAGAAAAGCCCTGAGAGCTTTTCTGAACTCCTGAACACCCTGAAACTCCTGAAAGCCCTCGGGCATGTCACAAAGCCCCTCTCAAGGGCAGCAGCTTGCAGGGATCCTTGCAAGCCCACCACGGGATGGGGCCCACACCAGCTCTCTACAGAGAGAATTTATGGGGAAACAACAGAGCAGAATTGTGGGAATCTGCCTGTACTTTCTGTTGGGTCCCCTGCCATGAAATTCAAAGATCCAATAAAAGGGAAATGTTACTCCTTGCTCGAAGGACATGCTGGGCTGGGCTGGGATTTCCAGGAGGACTTGTGAATGAGGGTTGAAAATTCCCAGCCAAATACCTGGCACCTTTTGAGTTGTAAATGTACAGATTTTTTTCAGATATTACTTAACCTGAAAGTTGTTGAGAAATCAGTAGTAATTCCCTCATTAAAATCCCAGCTTTATTAATTAATTAAAAGCAACTGCTTCTGCAGATGGATGTGAACTCTTCCACAATGACTTGGGTGCTGTGGCTGAGCAGCTCTGAGTGCCCTGGGGAGCTCTGAGTGCCCCAAGGATCGTGGGTTTTGACACAGGAGTGTGGGACGTGCAGAGTCCATCAGCCCTGGGGGCTCCACTTCTCCTGGACAAAGCAGCAGTGCTCACCTGAGAGCCAGTACCATGAGTATCTGCAGGACAAGGCATTCCTGCCTTTTGCCCTGGTGGCTGGGTATTCCAGGGCTGCCTGCAGATAGCTGTGCCAGGCTCTGTTTGGTGGCATTCCTCTGTTTGGTGGCATTCCCAGTGAGTGACAGACGAGCCATCTGGCATGACGCTGAAACTCAGCACAGCCTTCGCTGAGGAGGAGCCCACAGGGATGACAAAGCACTTCCACACCTTCTGCTGCCGTGTGGGCTGGGCACTGGGACTGGGGTGTTCCTGGGCACTGGGACTGGGGTGTTCCTGGGCACTGGGACTGGGGTATTCCCGGGTATTCCTGGACACATCAGCGTGAGACAGCACAGCCGTGCTGGAGAGAAAGGACCCTGCCAGACCCTGCCCTCGTGGGGACGGACTGAGCGGCAGCAAGAAAAATGAGGGACTTTCAGGGGCAGCTGTGTTTTACTAACCCAGTCATAATGCCCCTAAAAATCCTTATTGTTCTTGCAATGGTCAACTGTGACCTCCGGCACGGGGAGGCCTGGAAGGGAAGCATGAGCACTTGGGGCTGGGCAAGCACGGAAGGGCAGGCGGCCGTCGGGAAGGATGGCTGGGAAGTGGGAGCAGGGTTTCAGGCTGGGGAAAGTGTTTCTGTTGGAGGGGAACTAAAAGGACGTGGTGTTGTGACCTGTGGTGTGGAGTGTGTGCTCTGTATGGCGCTCAGGGCACGAGAACTGGAACGCAAAGATGGGGAAACGAAACAATCCGAGTGTTTTCCTCCCCACATCCCCACCAGAGCAAAATGCAGAGAGATGCACAACCCAACCCCAGAGAAACAGCCCTTACCCAAACCATTCCCCACTCCAAATTCCCTGTTTTACTCCTTCAGCAAACTGTCCTTGCAGGTCTCTGCTCATGCTCCTTTCTCTGAGCTTTATTCCTGTTCTCCTTTCTCAGACCAGCCCAGGATGCAGTAATTGCATGCAAAGAAGCAGTTTGTTAAACAGAACCATAATATTTAATTATTTGCCATCTTTATGCATTCTAACACTTCATTTGCATTTCTGAGAGCTTCTATATGTTGAGTAAAAGTTTTTATTTTCATTGAACTCTGCAACAATGTTCAAAGCTTTTATCCTTTAATAACTCTACCCTAGGGTATGGATAGTCAAATTAGTCTGGCCCCACAGCAGCAATGGGCCTTTCACACTGTCTGCTTGGATTACTCATTCATTACCTTTTGAAAAGGCTTTGTTTATGGCTTTTATGATTTTTATCAATTAATTATATGTTTATGAATTAATTCTGCTTTATATGCCTATGCCAGTAGATTAGATTAGAAGTGCATGCCTTTTTTTTTTTTTTTTAAATTGGGTTTTATGGTTTTGGAGCAGGATTTACTCATGTGTTATTTGTCATTCTCAGGAGCATTTCAAGTGCTTTTCCTAAAGCTGAATTCTCTATAAAGGAGAAGTGACTAGAAACCCTGAACTGAGTCCCAGGTCTCGCTTAACTTTGTAAGGCACAGTGACACACTGAGGCTGCTCCACTTAAGGTATGGTATGAACCAGGAGCTGTGGAATGAGTGTTCACATGGATCATCCTGCCTGTGGAATGAGTGTTCACATGGATCATCCTGCTGCAGCTATTCCCGAGCCAGCAGCTGCTGTGTAAGCAGAGCCTAAAAGACAATCCTTGCCCCAGTGACTGTGTGGCAGATAAGACAGACAATGGGCACAAGGAAGGCCCCTGGCTATCAGGGAAGGATGGATACTGTTCAACCAGCTGGGAACAAAGAAACCTGGGCTGCTCCAGGCCCTGCAGGACTGAACCAGAGTGTCCTTCCCTGCCTGCTGGTTCCAGGAACGTGACACTTTGGGAACTGTTTGTGTCAGGACTCCCTGCTTTGACACCTTTGATTTCTGAGACTACCTCATTTCAGGAAACCCCAGAGCTCCTCTCCACAAGGATTTCCCCATCCAGCAGCTCTCATGTCTTCACTGGATACTGAAATGAGATGGAAGGGCTTGAATGTTTCCTTGGCAAGATGTGTGGATGGAATTAGTTTAATCTGTTCTGATTCTGGTTCTACCAAGTCAACTGGACCCAATCACCTCCTCTGCTAACAGGCTGCAGAGCAACAATCTACTGGAATATTCTTTGTGCTGAGAACAGGAAGATCTGGAATGAGGGTTTGTAACTTTTTTGGATGAGTTTCTATGTTACAATTTTTACCTTTAATATCACCACTTTAAATAAGAATAATTATTTGTTGAAATAAACACATTTTTTGCCCTGAAATACTGGAATATGCCTCCACAGCTTCTTCCTGCCTCAGCTCTGCCACTGTGAAGAGAACCCACTTGTGGATTTCAAAGCCAGAAGGACGAGCTGGAACCTCTAACAGAGGATGTGCACAGAGCAATTCCTGCAGTTCCTCCTGCAGCCAGGGCCCTGATGAGTGGATCTTTTCCTTACCTGCTCTAGGAACTCCTGTATAAATGTCTGACAAGCTCTTCCAGGGCTTTATAACTTTGTGTCTTGTTCCTTAAGGCAAGCTGCAAGTTGCCTGCTTATCCCATTCCATCTTGTACAGCCTCTGTGGATGGAACCCTTCCTGTGCGTGACTGCACGTGGTGGAGAGGAGAGCACGGGGGTTTGGGGCTATTTTTATCTGATGTGTTCCCAAAGCAGCTCTCCCAGTTGCCACACTGCCTGTCAGAGTGGAGGGCTGGTGCAGCAGAGGTCTGTAGGGACACTTGGTACGTGGCCAGGGGATCACATGCAGGATCCCTTGTGCACATCCTGCAGTGGGATCCAGCCCTGCTAGTCCCTCTTTAACACTTCAGGACATTCTCAGCAGGCCCATGAATCCATTTCTCAGTGCCCAGGTTAGGCCACCAAGACTTCAAGAGCAAATCTGACTGGTTTTAGTTTTCTTTCTTTTTAAGGTTCAGCATCACTGAGCACCTCCAATTTAGCTTGAAAAATAAAATACCTAAAATAAAGGTATTTGAAAAGCACATGCAGGTAATCATGGGGTTTTTTCAAACTCAGCCTCAGATGATGCCATCAGCTTCTACTGCAGTTAAGCACTGCCCCAGACTTCCTTGAAGTTGGCATCCCCAGTCTGTGCTAAGCAGTATGAACATTAAAATAGGCCCTGCTGAAATAAAACACCCTGGTACTTGCATGAACACAGTTTCCTGAAAAACAGGTAACAGCAGATGAACTACACCTGAGCCACCATTTGAGCTGCTTTTCACATCTTTGGAAGGTGCAGAGCATCCAGATCAGTACTGGTGTTACCACAGCCCACAGAGAACAGACCCGAGGCAGCAGAGAGCAAAGAGTGCAGGGTGAGATCCCAACAGGGAAAAGAAAAAAAAAAAGTTAAATTTCTCTTCAGGTACAAGCACTTCTGTTAATGCCTTGCAGGCTGCAAGGAGGCTCCCACTGCAGGGGACACTTGCTGAACTGCCCTGCACCATTACCAGGGGCTGTCAGGGCACAGCTCCTGTCCAGAGCAGTTTAATGTGGCACATTCAGTCAAACAGAAATTGTATGCCAGCCACATACATGGAATAAAACAAGTGCAGGAAATACACTTTTCAGGCAAATTTGTTGATTTCTTTTTTTTGAAGCCCTGTGGTACTTTGCTGTAGTTTCAGATAAATAGCTGCTTCAGTGAGGAAATATAGTTATTTAGGCAAACTTTTATCATAATTTATACCTTTGATTTTCAGCAAGACTGAAGAAATCCAAGCTCTCAAGGAACCTGTAGCTTTAACAGGTCCTTATTGGGCTTTGTCCTTTTAATTAGCTACATTTAACTACATTTGCAGGCATTGGTGGAAAAGAAACTGCACCTTCTCCAGTGGGATGGCTGGGCCAGCCTTCACATGAGCTGGACCCTGTTCTGGTGCCCAGTTTGTGTTGGGCTTCAAAGCTTGATATTTGGTACTTTTTAAAGAGGAAAAAAACCAAACCAACCCCCCAGCAAAGTGAGCAGACTTCCCCTGGGCCACAAACTCATCAGCTGATCTAGGGCAGTGTGACTGTGCCTTTCTCTGCAACATGGAGCTCAAAAACTTTATGTCATTGGAGCAGGGTTTGTCTCTTAACCTGGAAGGCTGGCAGTCAGCAAGTCCTCTCTTTACTGAGGCTGATGCTGCTTTAGATGCACCTTAAGGGAAAAAAAGAAAAAAAAATAAGAAACCCCCCCCCCAGGCTGTTTCCTGACTATTAAAGAGAGAAGGAAAAAAATTCATGGTATTCTAGGTAAATAACACAGTTGGGTGTAATGAGTCAAATCCCACATTATCATTGTCAGTTGTCCTCTTGGCTTTTTGTCATGGTGCCCATGACCTGACTAAGTGTGACACAACCTGAAGGGGTCTCTGATGACTCATGTACCTGCAAAACCTCCTCTGTACTTTTAAGTTCATATTCCTGTAAACTTCACTTATTCTGCCTGTAAACTCAGATTGGTTCTTTAAGCTTTAAGGTGATGAAGTTTCCTCTGAACACCCTCAGGCTGCTCACCTGCCTCATGAGAGAAGCTGAGTGGTACAAGGATTCACTGTGCTCCTGAATCTGTGGAGGAGCAATTTGTTTTCTCCTTAAACTTCCTGTGACTTTTGCCCAGCATTCTTAAAGGAAAAATTAAAGACTTAGTGGTTCCTGCAGCCTACCTGCAAATATACTCCTACTTCCACTTCTGCTGATTCATTCACTTCTCCCACAGCAGACTGACATCCTAATTAGAGCCAGCATATCCAAGAGGCATTTTCAGTCATCACACAATGAAGTGGAACAGAAAAGGACCAGTGACCCAGTGGGGCCCAGTGCCATTACACAGGACAGGTTTTGCCCACCAGTCTGTTGGCACTACAGAGGTTCCACGGTCCCCACATCCCAGTTACAGAACATTCTGATATTTATGCCTGGTGCCACGGATCTTGTGCTGTGTGTAGTACCAAGGCTTTTGCTCCATGACGGATGAGAAGCAAATCTGTGGATCCCAGCGTGTGGACTTCAAAGTACTTACAGCTCGCGCTTAACTGGGGAAAGGAAGCCAAAGGAAATCATGTGCATTGGAGTCAAATACCATTTTTAGGAGTGGGAACTGCCTGTGTATTTCACCAGTGATTAAAATAGCCAGGGATGAAGGCACACTCTTGATTAATGGTCTCTCTGTGAGCTGAGGACATGTCCTCCAGAGTCTGGCCCTCCTGAGAGACACTCCTGACATGCTGCTGGGCCGAGCTCTGTTTAAAGGCACGAGCAGGAACTGGTTGGTTGGCTTTTATCATCCTTCCTGTGGATCAGTTATGTCTGGTGGCTTGAATGATTATCTCCTACGTCTGAAGCGTGTGCTGTGTGTAAGTAGCTCTAACCCAACCTGGACCAGGGAGCAGTGCTGCATCCCTGCAGCCGTGTTCCCATGGAAGGAGGTTCCCCGAGCTCTCCTTGGCATGCTGGGCTGGTGCTGCAGTTGGAACAAGACCAACCAAATGATTATTTTAAAGCTACTCATTTTTTCTCTATTCATGTTCACATTTTGTGACTCTGCTGCTTCTTAAACCCCTGCACGTCCCTCTGGGCAGTGGCAGCTAAACCACTGAGTAGTGGCTTTCTCCTGATGGAGAATCCTGTGGGACACATGGAGGTGAGGGGGAGATCCTGACTCTATCCTGTCCCCATTACAGGACACAGCTGGGCAGCTCAAGACCAGCTCAGCCCCTTTAGCAATCCCTCCCAGCCAGTCTCAGTGGGGTATGGCTGCAGGGCTGGCACTGTCCAGCTCCCTGATTATTTGATGCCAGAGGGGATGCTCCCCAGAGCTCCAGGAGCAGCTGTGAGCGGGCTCTGAGGGTTCTGGGGAGGGCTGAACCCCACACAGAAGGTGATCTGGGGGCTGCTCCACACTCCACCCTCTCTCCCTGTGTGGCAAAAAGCACAGGCTTAACCTCTGCGTGCCTCCCACCCCAGCTGAACCAGAGATAGGAAACTCTGTCTGTCTCAGTGGGTTTCTGCAGCACTTAATTGATTTGTGCTGCTAAACACCCCGCAGTAAATGAGTCCAAGGTGTTAAAGGAGGATGGGTTAGTGGGAAAGATCCAGCTGAAGCACAGCTTAGATAGGAACCATGTGTGTGCTGGGACAGAGTGCACCCTCGCCCCGTTCCCACCCCTGGCCCTGCACAGGGGGATTAATGCTTCACGGAAATGCTGGCTTGTTTGCAGGCCTCTGGCTTGTCCTGGAGCATCCCCATGGCCCAAATGTGTGGTGGGATTTGCTGCTGCAGGAAGGAGCCCCGAGTGGCTCCAAGGAATTCCCCGTTCCAGCCCCGTGCTGACACCACTGGTTTGCACATTAAGGGTCTCTTTTCCTGCACAGAGACAATACAAGGCATTGCTGTAAGAACAACCTGAAAAAGACACAAACGAGGAGCTTCTGGGAATTCCTCAGGTTTTTCCAGCTGCAGAGGAGGGTGAAAACTGTCAGCTACAAAAATATTATAGTTTATGCTGTTAAACAAATCATCATTTGTCAACAGGTAGCTGAATTATGTCCAATTCCGCTGGCAGAGGCAGAACTGATTTTGTTCCCAATGCTATTGTATAGTTAACAGCTGGCAGCAAACTGGCAGTGAAGGCTGTGCTGGGCTGATAAATAACCCAACAAGCCTCACAGCAGAAGTATCTCATGGAGCGACTGCAGCTCACGCTGGAATGTGTTGAACAAACGCTTGTTAACAATCTATGCACAGGCGGGGAACTGCTTGATGAAAAGGTACTAGAAAAATGTTATTTAAGACACAGATTTCCTAGGGGTAGCAAAAGAACAAACCAGGTTTTAGGCCTAAGAACACCAAACACAGCAGCAAAGCAGCAAATGTTAGCATTTCTCGCTCGCTGAAACAGAGAGTCTGGTAATAATGAGTGAAACGTCCCAACCAGTTTGAAGATATCAAAGGCAAGCCAGGAAACCAACAGAGAGAAATATTTCTGTATTTGTTTCACAGCCCCCAAATTCTGCTGGACAATTTTCCACTCTTCCAGATGTTTTCTGAGAGAGACATGCTCTGATTTCAAATGCTGTGTTGCTTCTGGGCTGATGAGGGCACACTGTGCCACCTGGGACAAGGCAAGGAGACAGTGGAAATGCCCCAGCTGGAGCCCCTCTTTTTGTTCTTAACACTGCCCTGGTTTTGTCTCTGCTCTGGTTTTGTCTCTGCTTTGCAGACATTTTATTTTTACCATGGGTAAGAGCAGGAATGTGTGTGTCTCTGTGAGAGAACGAGCACGGGGCTGCAAGCTTCATCTCAGTGCAAATAATATTTTGGCAAGAAACCTGCAGGAGATTAAATTAGGGGCCTAACGACTGAATATTAAACATTTCAAACTTCGAGTTCCTTTAAATAAGCAGCTACAAAACAAGGAAGAGTCTGACAAAATTAGCAGGTCCAAAGCACTAAAGGAATCCACTAAGGATCACTTGTTTACTAATGCAAATTTAAATGGACC